TCTAAGAACTGTTCATTTAATTCCATCATTATTATTATTATCAAAATTTGCTATAACTCATGCACACTCACCAGAGAGATTTAGGAAGGGAAAGTGAGAAAGCAAGTTACTGTGTCTGAGACTCAAAGTGCAAGACTCAAAGTCTTGTGGGAGCCTAGGACTTTTTTTGTATTATTTTAATTTCTTTTATACATTCAATCACTATACATCACTTCATTTGTAAAGTGAATTTTCTGACATGAATACATTTCTCACCCGTCCAGTTAGAGATGCCCTACATGTTACCATCAACAGAAAATAATCCATTTCTATGTCCCATAAATGTATTGCCTCTCTGTTTTGTTCCTTAATCTCTTTCCTCAGACTCTCCTTCTCCTATCACCTTCTCACACTAGGATTTTAACTGCCATGACACCTGCTGATCCCCACTGTAATTCTTTGAGAAGATATTGGTTTGTAAGAGTCACAATGTATTTTTAGTATTTTTTCTTTTCTTTGAAAAAATGTGTCATGACTTTTCGACAGCCCAAGAATATTGCCTCAGTATTACCAAAAGTAAATAAATACTTGAGTAAATATTAGACACACCATCTATTTTTCTAAAAAAAAAAAAGAACAAAGTAATTGAAATGCAGACATACTTATTAATTTCTATAATCTCTGTGGCTGCTTTCCTGCTACATAACAATAAAAGTGAGTATGTCCAACAGAAAACCACATAATGTATAAAGGCAAAAAATATTACCAGCCTCTCAAAGAGAAAAAAAAGATTTATAAACTATGCTTTTGAATATATAGAAATGAATCAAAAAGAACATTTCATCTTTCTACAATGTAATTATAATACCAATTCTTCAAACAACAGCTACACAGGATCAATCAAATTACATTCAAGATTTAAATGTTTTAAAACAGTTTTCTGGGACCTGCAGTTGTCATAGTCATTTATTGTTGAACTCCCACATGGCCAAATTCAGTTCTAGTCTCAAACATGGTGCTTTGAAACTCATGCCAGGCAGATGTGTGTACATGTCCAAGATCCCTGGAAGAGAAGGGAGAAAAAGAGATTACAGCATGAACAACCTCTTTGAGGGTGATTTCTCACTTTGTCTCTCACTGTGTCTGTCTCTTTCTCTCCCTCTGACAAGCACACATGCCCTAAAGCAAAAACCTCTACAAAAAAAATTAAACCTGTTTTCAACATTTACATAAGACTATTTATAATAATATTGATAGAAAAATTAAAATGTACAATAAGAAAAGTAGGTACACAAAGTGACATGCAAGATACAAGGAAAAATCAATAGAAATTAGGATAGAGATAGATGTTAGGATATTCCAGGAGAACCAGATATTTCTTGTTATCTGAATATTAAAAAGAAAACTATTCATTTCTGTTGTGATGAAAAACTATGATAAGCCATGGGAATATAAAGTTCATTATAAGGAAAACAGAGAAGAGTGTAGAGAAGAGATCTGGAAAAATTCTCATCATTGATAGTATCAGTCAGCCATGAGATGGGCCAACCTAGATCTATAAATGCTGAGATCCAGTTTTAAATCACTTTGGTGCCACCTGAAGCTGAAAGAATTCTCAGTGTTATCAACATAGGCTCTTAATTTGGTGTATCTTGGTATTACCTTGGGAATTCACCTGTGTAAAATTACACAAGTCATCATTTTCTTTAATATGACCATCAATTTGTGAAATTGATTTGCTGGGCCTTTGTTTTGTCACCAGATGCAAAGCAGTGTATCCAGTGCCCAGCTCAAGAGTATCCAAACAGTGAGAGAACTCACTGCCTCTCCACGCCTGTGACATTCCTGGTTTTTGAAGATGCTTTGGGGACAGCCATGGCCTGCATGGCTCTGTGCTCCTTTGTCCTCACAGCTACAGTTTTGGGAGTCTTTGTGAAGCACAGAGACCCTCCCATTGTCAAGGCCAACAACCAGACTCTCAGCTTTATTCTGCTCATCTCCCTCCTGCTATGCTTCCTCTGCTCCTCTCTCTTCATTGGCCATCCTAACACCATCACCTGTGTCCTCCAACAAGTTGCATTTGGCCTTGTGTTAACTGTGGCTGTTTCTACTGTCTTGGCCAAAACCATTACTGTGATTCTGGCATTCAAAGCCATGAAGCCTGGAAGAACCATGAGGTGCTTATTCCTCTCAGGGGCTTCCTACTCTGTCATTCCCATTTGCTCCCTGATCCAAATGATTATCTGTGGAATCTGGCTGGGAACCTCTCCCCCTTTCATTGACATAGACTCACACTCTGAGCCCAGAACCTTAAACATCATGTGCAACATGGGCTCAGTCACTGCCTTCTACTGTGTCCTGGGCTACCTGTGCTTCTTGGCTCTGGGGATCTTCACTGTGGCTTTCCTGGCCAGGAACCTGCCTGACACATTCAATGAAGCCAAGCTCCTCACTTTCAGCATGCTGGTGTTCTGCAGTGTCCGGGTCATATTTGTCCCCATCTATCACAGCACCAAGGGAAAGTTCATTGTGGCCGTGGAGGTCTTCTCCATCTTGGCCTCCAGTGCAGGGATACTAGGCTGCATCTTTGTGCCCAAGTGCTACATTATTCTGATAAGTCCTGATAAGAATTCCTGGAAAGCTTTAAAAAACAGAAGAGTTTACAAATAAAATCTAAGGTTTATATTATAAGACTGTATCACAATTTTAGGGTTTTGAACCAGAAAGTTACAGATTTTATATTCTTATAAAGTAGTTCAAAATGACTGACTTATTAAATTCACTTTTAAAACAATATATGCACCTATTCATTGACAGTTATTATATTTTCAACTATGATTGGTATCTTAGATTAATGGGTGTTTCTTACATTATGGGTATTAATTAATGGCAACATTTTATTAATTATTTGGTATTTATTGTGTTCTAGAAAGCTTTTTACTTCTATATAGTCAGGAATAATGTCTTTACTTCCATATCTGGTTTATTTATTTCTGTCTCCTCTCTCTGTTCTAGGAATGTCTTGCTTTAATTAACTTTATTAGTTTGATGACCATAATTTATTTAAATTTGACCAGAGAGTCAGGGAGAGTGATAAAACAAGCCACCAGGTCTGGAACTCAAACTTCTATTCATCATATGGGAGTCCAGGCTCAACTACTATGCCACCTTTGGACACTGAAATAGATTGGGGAAAGGACAGTAGTTCTATAAGTAGTTCTGGAGATAGTGGCTATCCATATCAGAAAGAAAAGATTATAAACTTAAATTAAGACACAAAAAAGAACTACAGATGAAAAAATAGAAGAAATTCCTCAGGAATTGATCTGGGCACAGATTTTTTTAAAAAAGGCCTGAAAATGAGAGGCAACAAAAGCAAAAAATTTCACCTGATATTATAGCAAACTAAAATGATTCTGCATAGCAAATAATCAACAGGGAGAACAGGCATGCTTCAAGAGAGGGTAAATGTTTTTTCAATCTATTTATCCAGTGAAGGATTAATATTCAGAGTACATAAGAAAGTCAATAAAACCAAAAGCAAAAAAAAAAAAAGACCCTGATTACAGAATTAAATCAAGACATGAATAAACATTTCTAAAGTAGACATACAATAGCCAAGTATGTGAAAAAAATGCTCAATATCACTAATTTCCAACAAAATGAAAATACAAACTACAATGAGGTTTTACTTTACCTTAGTTAAAATGACCATTTTCTATGAGGGGGAAAGAAAACAACAAATGTGAAATGATAAAACATGACACACTGCAAGGTTAACTTACATGGGAAGGTTTAGAATTTACATCTCGAGACCTCCCTGAGTGTACTGGGCATACTTGTACCAACAATGTGGCACTGGATGAGGCTGGGAATAGATAATGTATTGAGATGCTTTTTAGTTAAAATGACCATTTTCTATGAGGGGGAAAGAAAACAACAAATGTGAAATGATAAAACATGACACACTGCAAGGTTAACTTACATGGGAAGGTTTAGAATTTACATCTCGAGACCTCCCTGAGTGTACTGGGCATACTTGTACCAACAATGTGGCACTGGATGAGGCTGGGAATAGATAATGTATTGAGATGCTTTTGGGAGTGCTTGTTTGTATATGAGTCTCTCTAGTCCTCTTTTTTTTCTCTCTTTTATGCATGAAAAGAATAAACTTTGAAGCATCTTGTGTTTTTTTTTGGGGGGGGGGAGTTTCCATAATGCACATGTGCTAACCAAAGAGACAGAAACAGAGAGAGGGAAAGTGAGAAATCATTCCCCGGGGGGCTAGCCTTTCCACGATCCCATCTGCTCCATTCTCCTCTAAGAATTTTTAACACACACGTGCTCAATGTGATTTATAAGTTGCCAAGTCCAAAATTCAAACCATAATTTGTCATGCAGGAGTCCAGTGTTGTAAACACAACACCACCTGGTATCCATTTTGAAACCTTTTTTTAAAATAATGCTGAGCTAGCAGGTGCTGGGTCCCACATGGTCAACTGCATGACTGGGTGGCTTAATAAAATGCAATGCACATGTGTGCATGCATACCGAAATAAAAAAAAAAAAACAAAGATGGAGAAGGGATTGTGGCTTGCTCTTATCCTTTAATGTGTGCCTTCTCATTCTCTCTCTCTCTCTCTCTCTCTCTCTCTCTCCAGCAACAAATGTACATGCTCTATAGCAAAAATTAAAAACAAAAAACCTGGCTAACTATATTTTGATTCAATAGTTTGGAACAGTGCCTGCTATCAAAGATGGCCTAGGAAGTTCCTTGCTAGTCCCTTGAGTATGATGACTGTTTCTCCTCCTGTTGTGGCTGCGGAGGAGTGGGGCTATTCCTCACCAAAAGATCAGAAAAGGCCTGGGAGACCAGGGAGGAATGGGTAGAATTCTTGGGTCATGATCCTGCAAGTATTTCTATCATTGGGTCAGTCTCAAAAGTTCCCAAGTCTCTTTCTGGAGGCTGGAGCATACTTAGGTAGAAAAAGAAAACCTGGAAGCAATCTCTGGGCTGACCTGGTCTCTTGGGTTTGGACATGGCTCTTGAAATACTTCCTTTGTTTCTCTTTCATTTATTTTTTCTTATACTCAAGTAGAATAGAGACTAGGGTCAGCCTTGTGCTAATCTCTATTTTTCATGGTATAGCACTGGGCACATTTTGAACAAAAACCTTCTTGCTGTGAGCCAGCAGGTGGTATGGTGGTTAGGGCACTGGATGCTCACATGGATGACTACAGTTGAATTCCTAGATCTGGCACCTTGAAAAACATGCTAGGTGCATGTGTGTCACATGTCCAAAATCCCAACAGGAGAATGGAGGAGAATGGATTGTGGTGTGGTCATCCCCCCAGGAGGAGGTGATATCTCATTTCTCCTCTCTCTGTCTCTGTCTCTCTCTCTCTCACAAGGGAATGCACTCTGCAAAAAAACAAACAAAAAATATCAGAACAAAACAAAACTTCTTGCCTTTCTCAATATCACCAATTTTAATTCTCTCCTTTGTCATTCATGCTACAAATGTTCTTGCTCAGAAGTCAGATGTCTTCTCTCTCCTGAAATATTTTTTAAACTCCCTCCAGAGATGGGGAGTGAGTGGCCCTTTTTCAGAAATACTTCAGTCTCATAGGAAACATCCATGCAGAGAGTAAATAGCCAATTATTACAGAGTATTAATACTGGACTTCATTTTAGAAAACTTGAATAAATAATTTTTATACTATGCTGAAGGGTAAAAATGACCTCTCTTTAAATGCTATAAATATATTGTAAAACAGTATGTGACTTATATGTAGAAATTTGAGGTAAACAAGGTAAATACATGCTACTGAAGAGTTTCTTAGGGGCTTTAATATGATAAATATATTGTAAATTCCCAGTAAAGAAATATGTAGTGTTTATTAAACCTTTACAAGAAAGTCATCTTTTTAAGTAATACACATTAAAACCAGCATGTAGTGTGGTAATTAGGGCACTGGTTTTGCACATGGCTGACCATGGCTTAAGTCCTGGACCTGGGAGCTAGCTTTCTCACTTTCCCTCTCGCTGTCTTTCTGGTAAAATTAAAATAATAATTATAATAAATAAATAATTGTTTACAAAATACACATTAATATTCTCTAGGGTTTTACTGTCATAGAAATGAATGTCTTTGATTCTGTAAATTTTGTTAACTCTAAGGAAATAGGAAATCTATTTAGTACTGAACTTTATTGCTAAAAGAGCATAGTATGGATCCAGCAAGTGGTCTGAGGATTACTCACGATTCCACATGGCCAACTTCATGGTTTGAGTCCCAGATGGGACAGGTTGAAAATCATGCTGCATACATGCCCAATGTCCAGAAAGTAAAAACAGAAGAGAAAGGATTGCAGCATGACAAGTTCCTCTGGTGGGAGATTTTTCACTTCTACCTTGCACTCTTTCTGGTGTGTATGCCCTTTAGCAGGAAAAAAATTACTATCAAATAAAAAAAATATGCATATGTAAGAATGTAACAAAGTACTATGTTCACTAGATGTGATACAAGTAGGACAGAAAACCAGTAACATGATCACTACCATATTTGGTTTTTTTGGGAGAGATTTTTTCACTGTAGGGCGCGTGCGCTCACCAGACAGACAGAGAGAGACATAGAGACAGAAAGCGAGAAATCACCCCCCAGGGGGGATGGTCACGCTGCAATCCCTTCTCCTCCATTCTCCTCTCGGGATCCTGGGCACGCACGCACACGCGCCCGGCGTGAGTTTTAAGCCACCGGGTCCGGGACGTGAACCACGGTCAACTACATGGAAGTCCAGTGACATAGCCATTACGCTAACTGCTGGTTCCCATCACTACCATATTTTAAGCCATTTCATCCACATGTAAAATGCAAACAAACTTACTTCTAAACCTCTATACACCTGTGAAAATACGGACCAAAGCACAGAGTGCTTCCATGTGAAAAAGAAAAGAGCCAAATATGAGAAATCATGTACAGACAGGACAAGCAGTTGGTGTAATGGCTATGTCGTGGAACTCCCATGAAGTTGACCACAGTTTGAGTCCCAGAACCAGTGGCTTAAACTCATGGTGGGCGTGTGTGTGTGCGTACCCAAGATCCCAAGAGGAGAATGAAGGAAAAGGGATTGTAGTGTGGCCATCCACCTGGGGGGTGATTTCTCACTTTTTGTCTCTCTGTCTCTGTCTTTCTGGAGAATACATGCTCCCTATAGCAAAAACCTCTCAAAAAAAAAAAAAAGAAGAAGAATAGAAAAGAAAAGAAACAAAAAGAAATCATGTAGAGAAAAAATAAAGGAAATAATCAGAGATTAGAAATTAGAGCTACTCGGGACCAGCAGTTAGCGTAATGGCTATGTCACTGGACTTCCATGTAGTAGACAGCAGTTCGAGTCCCAGACCCGGTGGCTTAAACTCACGCAGGGCGCATATGCATGTATGCCCAAGATCCTGAGAGAAGAATGGAGGAGAAGGAATTGCAGTGTGGCCCTCCCCCCCTAGGGCAGATTTCTCACTTTCTGTCTCTCTGTCTCTCTGTCTTTCTGGTGAGCACATGCCCCCTATAGCAAAAACTTCTAAAGAAAAAAAAAGAAGTTAGAGCTACTCTAGCTTCACCTGGACTGTTTAGTGTCTAGTTTGCCACAAGAAGGTCACACAAGCCTTAGGT